GGGGGAACGCCCCCCGGGTCCCGGAGCGCCCGCCAGGTTTCTTGCTGGACTCCTTGCTTGGCCCTACCGGCTATGGCTTTTGGTCCTGAGAGCACCAGTTTCCTCTTCGAACAACTGGACACGAATCCATCAGGGACAGTGTCTGACCCGCCAAACTAATTTCTTTTATTATTGGCAAAATGTACGAAATGCAGTGTAAAATAGAAATTTTAATATATTTTGAGTGGATGAGGGACTTTCGAAGGCAAAAGTGCCAGGACGCTTCAAAAGTCAAGATTTGGCCTTTGAAAAGAGGCACGACTCCTTGTCGTTGCTGAGGGTAACCAAGACAGTGCTTTTATTGGGCCTGAAGCTCGGCTCCTAGCAGGTGGTAGGGGGTCCAAAATGAGGAACAGATGATAAACAGAGAAAGTTTTGAGCTGGAGATCAACACCTTCAGCTCTGGGTGCTTTGAAAGGTAGTACTGGTGCCAGGGAGGAAAGAGCGCTAGAGAAAAGAGCCCCAGAGCCTTGACAGGTGGTCTGACTACAGAGCGTGGGAGGGTCAGGAAAGTACACTCATTCTTCTTTTATCCACTCTGTGAAGGTTTGCTAAGTGTCCCCCAAGGGCCAGGCACTCTGTCACCCTCTGGAGCCCCATGTTCCTTGCCCTGGGTGAACTTACATTCTACTGAGTTAGCTGAACAGGAAACAAAAGAAATAAGGACAGGAGGTGATGGGTGATACAACTCTGTGATGCTAGAAGACACTTTCTTGGGCTGGTCTAGAGGCCAGAGTAAGTCATTCTACCTGGGAGTCCTGTGCTGAAACAGTTGGGCAAGGTGAGACCTGGGAAACATTTTCAGAGTGGAATTGTCATGGTTAAAACTCGGCATGTATGCTTACAACAGAAAGGCCACTAAGACTGGCACCTTGACAAGGTGAGCAAGGCAGGCAGAGCCAATTTCCAGCGCTGTAGGTCTTTATTTACCAGAGTACTTCCAAGGACTTAGTACAATAACTTATTTACTGCTAAAGCACTGAGCACAGAACTAGCATACAGTAGTTGTTTAATAAGTGTTAGTTATGATGACAAGTTTAGATATTTTGGTTTCCTTTTTTATTTTTATTTATTTATTTATTATTTTTGCAGTGGGATCAAACCCAAAACATTGCACATGCAAAGCAAGCACTCTGCTATTGAGTTAACCCCAGCCTGAAGGTGTATTTGTTTTGAGGGGCTGACAGTATAGACATAGCTGGGTTTTCTAAGCTGTTTCTCATAAGCAAAGATCTACAGAAGGGAGCAAGGAGCTAAATTAAGAGCCTTGATGAGAGATAATGACTGAAAAGGGGCCAGGGCTGCTGCTATGAGTAAGGCAAAGACCAGAGGCTGTGGGGAGGGGGAGAGGAGCAGAGGCTGGGGAGGTGCTGCTGAGACTCCCAGCCTGTGTGCCCAGGGATGGCCCACTGGTGACACTGTACTCAACAGAGGGGCAGGTTTCTGCAAGAGACAATCATGAGTTCA